TATATATATTTTTTTTTTTTTTTTGAGACAGAGTCTCACTCTGTTGCCCAGGCTGAGTGCAGTGGCACAATCTCAGCTCACTGCAACCTCCGCCTCCCAGATTCAAGCAATTCTCGTGCCTCAGCCTCCCAAGTAGCTGGAATTACAGGCATGTGCCACCACACCTGGCTAGTTTTTTGTATTTTAGAGACAGGGTTTTGCCATGTTGCCCAGGCTGATCCCAAACTCCTGAGCTCAGGCGATCCACCCACCTCGGCCTCCCAAAGTTCTAGGATTACAGGTGCCAGCCACAGTACCTGGCCTCCTCCTGTACAGCATATTTTCATATGAAGTCCCTGAGACAGAAATCTAACTTTATTTTCTTCTAAATAGTCAACTGTCTCTCATTTTAGATTGATAGTATCTTGCTTTGCAGCATCTTTAAAACTCTTTATGGAATAAAGTGGCATTTAAATGAGGAAATAGGCCGGGTGTGGTGGTGCTTCATGTAATCCCAGCACTTTGGGAGGACAGAGTGGGACGACTGCTTGAGCCCAGGAGTTTGAGACCAGCCTGGACAACATAGGGAGACCTCATCTCTACAAAAAGAAAAAAAAAAAATTAGCCGAATGTGATCAAACATGCCTGTAGTCCCAGCTGTTAGGCAGGCTGAAGTGGAAGGATCGCTTGAGCCGGGGAGGCTGAGGCTGCAGTAAGCTGAGATCGCACCACTGCACTCTAGCCTGGGTGAGAACGAGGTTGTGTCATAAATAAATAAATAAATAAATAAATAAATAAATAAATAAAGTCATTTACTTAACATTTACATAACACTGATTATCTGACAGAGATGAGGAAGCAAAAACCAGTAAGACACCACTCCAGGCCCCAGGGATCTTTCTTGAGGGAGATTCACATCCTCGGGGAAACAAGATGTATGGTGAATGAAGGAGGTGGCAGAGGGGTCTGCAGTAACTGAGTAAGTATGGAGCTAGAGGACTAATACCTCCAGGATAAGTGAATTTATGCAAAGATCGTATTTGAGAGAAGAGGTGAGGAACCACTCACTAGTAGTTTTGAGTGCCCTGAAAGTGAAATAGATTGAATTTTGTCCTGGAGGTCAATGGGATGTTCCAGGACTTAAGTCCCATAGGACTGACAATCAAAGACCGGTCTGGTTGCACTGTGGGAAATGGACTGAGGGGGCGCTGGAGTGAAGGCAGGAAGGCTGTGAGATGTGTCAGACGGGACAGGTTGAACCTGGGGCGGTGAGAACTGAACCAACTGGAAAGGTGTCCTACAAGGTAAAAGAGACCTAAGGCAGGTGTGAGGAAGAGGGATAAGGCAAGGATGAGATCCAGATTTCTGGCGTGTGCACCCACGGAAATGAGAAACACGATAAGGGAAAGCTGGGGAGATCAATTTCACACTGAGCCTGTGGTGTCTGAGGGGCATTCCGGGAGCGATCTCCAGCGGGGCAGGAATGTAATGAAAGAAGGGGCTGAAGCCCGGCGCGGTGGCTCACACCTGTAATCCTAGCACTTTGGGAGGCTGAAGCCAGCGGATTACATGAAGTCAGGAGTTCCAGACCAGCTGGCCAACATGGTGAAACCCCGTCTCTACTAAAAATACAAAAATCAGCGGGGCGTGGTGGTGCATGTCTGTAATCCCAGCTACTCAGGAGGCTGAGGCACAAGAATCGCTTGAATCAGGGAGGCAGAGGTTGAAGTGAGCCGAAATCGCACCACTACACTCCAGCATCGGCAACAGAGCAAGACTATCTCAAAAAAAGAAAAAGAAAAAAGAAAGAAAGAAAGAGAGAGCGAGCGAGAAAGAAAAAGAAAGAAAAAAAGACAGAGAAAGGAAAGAAAGGAAAGAAAGAAAGAGAAAGAAAGAGAAAGAAAGAAAGAAAGAAAAGAAAGAAAGAAAGAAAGAAAAGAAAGAAAGAAAGAAAGAAAGAAAGAGAGAAAGAGAGAAAGAGAGAAAGAGTTGAGCTCAACAGATAGATATGTGGGAGTCATCAGAACAGACTAGTAGACGACAATGCCCCCAGGGGCAGGGCGTAGAGTGAGGGCGTGGAGCGACGGAAATCCTCGTTTTCGAGTTTCGCCCCCGCAGGGAGGCCCAGCCCAAGCCCTGCCCGATCCGGCCCCGACCCACCTCGCCCACTCGGGTTTGACCCCGCACAAGAGGCTGCGCGTGGCAGACAACGGTTCTTCCGGCGCCCGGCTTACTGGGCATGCTGGGAACGGAAGCCCGCTCCGAACGCCGAGCACTTCGGGAGCTGTAGTTTGGGGCAGGCTCAACTGGGCGGGTCCAAGGCTCCCCGTGAGTCCCGGCGTTGGATCATTTAAAGGACAGGTCCAGAAAGCGGTGATGCTCCCGGGGCAGGGTGCCTCTCCGGCGGCGACACGGGGCGCCCCGGGCCTCATCCCCTCTCCGCAGGGCATGGCATTTCCACGCCTCCACAATCTGCTCCGCCTGCAGAGCAAGGCCAGTCAGTGCGCAGTCCCGCGGTGGCCCCTCGCCCCGAGGACCGTGGCCGGGCCTCTCCTGCCCCCTCCCAGCGCCCTGTACCCCCTGCTGAGTGGAGCTGGGCCGGTTCCCCGCGTCCGCACCGGGATGAGTGGTTCCTGCCGGTTCTGCTCTTCCAGGGCGCTCAGCTCCGCCGGGGCCAGCAAGGCTAGTCTCAGCTCTTTCACCACCGGGGCCGCCACCTCGGCCACCGGCCTCTCCAGCACCGCCTGCGAACGCCAGCCCTGAGTCAGGCACTTGTCCTGCCACCCGCTCGCTGGGCTT